TAATTGTGTTTTGATGGGATGGGGGAGTAGGTTCACATTTTTCATTGTTTTATATGCATGTTTGAATGTGTTTGTTAAGGTTTTGTTTGTGATTAGGTGGTGGTCCTTCAGATCGTGCATGATACCAACCCTTGATTGGAGGCAAGTGCATGACGAACTAATTGTGTGATTTATGGATTGTTTGCTCTATCTATTTATTTCCGATATATTTGTTTGTGACAAGTGACTGCTTATGTTCAAAATTGTTGTTCACGCTATTTAGATTTCGAGTTCATCTTATGTTTACAATGTTATTCTTGTTTTAATATTCCGGATTTTGGTTCTAGTTAAATAATTCAAGTTTCATGCTTGACATGGATGTGCAATATGGTTTCAATTTGGTTCTTTGTTTTTTTTTTCAATTATTCATGCTCCATGCGAGTCATGGATGTGCTATCTAGTTTTCTATTCATGTTCCTGTGGGTAAGCGTTGATCACGCTTACTCGGTTTTGCCGACAAATGCTAGGATGTATTCACAATTGTCCGGGATGTAAACTACTATTTCAATTCATGCCTGCACGGGACGGGAACTACTATTTTTCTTTGACTTGGTGTTTAAAAATGTGTTTCTTATCAAAGAAAAAAAGCTTTCTGTGCATGCTTTATTGCCAATGATGTGTATATGTGTTTTCTAGTTCCATATTGTACTTGCTGACTATTTCTGTACTCACTCTTGTGTTTATTCGGTTTTAGGTCCACATTGAGATCGGCATGTATGGGCGGGAAGTAGCACTCCTGTATACACACCTATGTATACACACCTATCTGTGCACTATCAAACTATATTGCTTAGGTACATAATGACACTTAAACTATATCCTGGTTTGGTCTTGAAATAATCCTTTAGATATCTATTAGTTTCTTTCCATGGGTTATATGGATGGATCACACTGTGGGAATGATATTATTATTAGTTTAATTTATAACTGTCTGTCATGGATATCCATATTTATAGGGGAGACTCTGCTGAAATTTCTAATAATTTTGGAAGTTAATGGTTTTGAGTGCATTTTGGTGTGGTACTCTAGGTAAGTGGTTACCTGTGGTGTTACACCTGGCGATCCACACGCCGCACCACATGGCAGCATCCTCCAGTGTTTAATTCTAGTTATATGGCAAGCGACACACCCTCGGCTGGAGGAACAATCTTCCGACAATCTTCTCTTCTTTCTTGAGGTAAATTTGGTCAATGATATATGGCAAATTTTGCTACAAGATATCGCAAAAACAAAGTTTTAGGGAAAGACACTACATAACCGTCGATATTTGCCGATGGACCTCGCCGTCTAAATATATAAAACTTGCTGTGCTGACGTGGTGGTCGGGAGCACGTTTTTTGACACGGTCGAACCGAAATGCCCCTGCGCCTTATCTCCTCATATTGAGCTAGGGTTCTATCGGCGAGATGCGGCAGGCGGGGTGGGATCTCATCGTGCACCCGGGCGTCCCGCTGTGCCACGCCGGCGATGCCAAGTTCACGCTCGAGTCGTTCATCACGCTCAATATGTTCGTTGGCTTCCACCAGTGGGACTTCGGCCTGAGCGCCCTCCACGACCGGAGCTCCTATGACCGGCGACGGTTCTTCGACGAGTTCGCGGAGCTTAAGGCGGCACCAGCGGCAGAGTTCCTCGACGCGCGGAGCTCGCGGTGGGGCGCGCTCGACGAGTTCCCGTGCGACGGGTACCTGTCCGTGGTGCATAAGCGGATGGAGGCGGTGTTCTTCGGGAGCACGGCGCAGCGCGGCGCCGTGGCGAGCGCTGGGGCGCGTTCTCCGACACGCCATGGTTCGTCGAGTTCGCCAAGATGGCGCGCCACGTCTGGTTACTGCATTGCCTCTTCCTCACGTTCGATGGCGGTGTGAGCACCATCTTCCAGGCGGCTGCCGGGGGGCGATATGGACGCCAACGGTGACAGTGACACAGCGCTGGGGGCGGCAGCGGTGACCGCGCTGTCGGGTTCACCGTCGTGCTGGGGTTCAAAGTTGGCTGGATGGTGATGCAATGCCGTGTATACCTCTCACGCCCGGTGCGACAACCATGACGACGGTGGAGCTCGCCGGCGGCGGTGGCTGGATAGAACGTAGTCCACGCCGGTATATCTGTCACATATATGTACAATGTATCTACCTATGTATTTAGTGTCCAGCAAGCAATTTAGTGTCCAGCAAGCAATATGAGGAGATAAGGCGCCGGGGCATTTCAGTCCGACCGCGTCAAAAAATAGGCTCACGTCCGCCACGTCAAATACTATAAGCATCCAAGCACAATCTCCTAGATGCTACATAAGCTTAAATAGTTAGGTGAAGGAGAGAAGAGATGAGAGAGATAAGGAGCCACCCCCTCATGTAAGAGACAACCACTGCACAAAATTCAAAACAAAAGGAGAGAGACAAAAAAGAGTAGATTGGGCGAACAAACATTGGGGGCACTAGAACTAGTATAGATATGATATATTTTCTCCATTCGAAAGTCTAAGACTTAGTCTATTATTTAGTTTTTCTAAAAGTCTAAGTCCTATATGTAGTCACCATGTACTAAATTAAATTGTTGATCGGAATCGAAGAAGTTATTTTAGTACTTATTGGTTCCATGTCCATTGGTTTTATCATATGGTGAATGGGTTAATTGCTTCTTGGCCTTGATAAAAAAGAGATAGGTCTTAGACATTTGGAAGAAGGGAGTATTGTACATGTTACATATATTTATTAGTTGATGTTATAGTCAAGATTAGCTGTGACATCCATCTCTTTTGTAAAACTTGTCCTAATAAAGTAGCATATAGTTTAGCCCAACTTGCTTTGCCTTGAAGCAATTGGTGGTTTTGTGCTTGCAAGCACCGGCGTGTGTTTCCGAGCTAAAAGCTCGCGATTGTAATCCCTCAAATGATTAATACATAGAGCTCTCTCTTTCCGAAAATAAAAAAGTAGCATATTAATACCGCCAAATGATATCAACATCGATGAGGCAAATTTAATGTAAAATGTCAATAATGAAATGAAATTAATAGATATACATATATGGGATGACTACTAGTGTAAATTAATTGTAGGAAAAAAGTTAATATGCGACTTTAATACTACTAACCGGTACACCCGACAGGCAGGTAGGACAGCCACCTACTCTCTCTCAGTTCAAAAAAAAAAAAGACAAGTACTAGAATGTTTAGGTTGCCTTACCTCTTAGTTTTAGAAAATAAGCATGAGTCCTATTGTTGTGCTTATTTATATCGGGGAAAAATGTAAAAACCACCCCATAAATCACTCGAAGTTTGGCATTCCACCCCGTAAGTCATTTTGTTGCAAATACCTACTCTCTACTTAGTTTTGTTAAAAAAAATCACCATAATGCACACATACTTAATCAAATCAGTTTATTATTGCTGGTGTATAGTTATCACAGACTAAGCTAGCCAAGTCAATACCGTCCAAGCGTTTGCATTAGACTTATTTTCCATATTTAATTGAACTTTTTTTCATATAGAGAAACTCAGTGTGACAACGTTTAAGCTCTCGTCTGCAATTTTATTTGTGGTATCTCAAAAAAAATATCAAGAATACTCTGGAAGTATTTAATTTTGGTAAAACCACATTAATCGCTCACACTTTATGAAAACATATTGATTGGATTAAGCATGTGTTTACTGGGATGGTTTTTTGCAACAAAACTTAGTAGGTGAGTGGACATTTGCAACAAAATAACTTATGGGTGGAATGTCAAACTTCGAGTGATTTATGGGGTGGTTTTTCCAATTTTTCCTTTATATCTCTTATTAGCAAATAAAAATAATTTATAAGTAAATTTTATATACGTGTCCTTAGTAACAAAAATAAAAATAAATGTTGTGAAATAAACATCGATAGAAAAATAAAATATTAAGTTTTATAATTTAAATTTTAGCTTATAATATAAGTAATATAAGTATAGGCATAAGCGAAATTAATAAGGCCATATATTTGGGTTGTTTAGCATCTTATCTGTGCAACAGAAGTTTTAACTAAAAATATCATTAACTCGTTATTACCATTATTTTCAATATATATCCTCTTTATTTAATTTGTTACTAACAGCATTATATATTTTATTCTCACAGAAAAGTAAAAAGTTGACCGTGGGGAGCTTGACATGTAGGACCTTTTTTTTTTGTTTGCAAAAATAAAAGTAGACGGTGGTAAAGGTGTGGCAAATTCACCACCACCACTCCCTCTTAAGGATATTCTCAGTGGGCATGTTCGGCAGGCCGACTGTGATGGCTACAGTCGTGCATAGTGAGTGCAGCACTGTTCTTGCCGGCTGCGGCCGCAGCCCGGGCAGCAGAACAGGTCCAGTCTATCCAACCCAACTTGATATTAGTGTGGGCCCAAGCAGCAGGAGGTAATAGTTTATGATAGAGGGCACAATGTTTGTTGCCTGCCATAGAGAATAAGATTGGGTCCACCAAGAAAAAAAATTATTTCCTATCCTGTAGAATTGCTACGTTCCTTATCTGCTATTTGGTTGCTAACTTCCTATGCTTGCTACCCGGTAGTAACACTACAATCAAGTAGTTGTTGTTACCTCTTTTTACAATGCTTATAACCTGATAATAAAAGTGTATTCATTGCTTACTGTCTGCTTTTGAGCCACAATATGGTTGCCCTAAACGTAGAAATGTAATGGTGATTGTCCGTAACTTATAGATAGATTAAAATAAGAGGATATTAATGAAATAAATAACAATACTATAGAAGTGATAAAATTTGTGCTAAAAAGAGATTTTACATTCAGAAACAGATGCATGGTACACGGGACAGCAAACCCAACAACTTGTTAGGTTAGTACTGTTCCAAACGATGAGGCCCATTGACGTCGTCTCAAGTCTTCGCCTTGTTGTTCACATGTCATCATCTGAGCTGACCACCACCCCCGATTTGTTATACGAAGTCTTCGCGGCATTCGTGCCCTCAGTTCATGAACGATTTGTACATATATATACTCGCTCGTGCCATCCATCGGGTCATCTGTGCTATGCTCAAACTCTCTTCGTTTATTGCCGTCGCCGCGAAGCATTGCTAAGGCGTTTCAATTCCATGCCCTCTCGACAGTAGTCCCGAGCGGACACACTACGTATTGTAAGTCCTCATCTCGTTTATAATAAATATTTTTAAAGCTGATTTTAGAGTATTTTTATCGTAGTCCCCTTTTTTAATATTGAGTTTTAAGATGCTAACAATACAGGTATAAAAGTCTTACTCTTAATTTGTTCTATTATTAGTATTTTTCAGTAATAGCCGTTACGACTTATAATCAGCTCTTAGTCAGCCGATGGGCTCTACCTTTTAACATAAGTTTCTTTGTCTTTTTCTTCTACTAGAAAAATGCCCGTGCGTTGCAACGGGTAAAAACGTTTTTCCGTGGTACAACCGCTATTAGGAACTGAGCAATGAATGAAATATTAGGATCACTATATATACATTATAATTAAAAAACTTAATAAAAATTGTTCCTTTGTTTGGGTCGAAAGCCCATTCTTTCCTCCCTCTGCTCGACCTGATTCTCTCCAATCTAGCCCACAAATCGAGCGACATGCCCAGCTCGTACAGCCGACTGTCCTATCTCTCTGATCCAGCCCACAAGTGGAGCTATAGGCCTAATTCACACATCCAACCACCATCTTCAACCTCCTAGTCCTATGCCCGTATGCAGGAGCTGATTCTCCCTATCAAATCCAGTCAAATCTTTTTTTATATCTGAAAATTGGTCGAGGGGTTTTGATTCACTCGATCTACTCTTTCCGCTTTTCCGAAACAGAACGAATCCGCAAAATTAAAGGCCGGCCAACTATCATCAGCGACAAAAACTAAATCCAATGGATTAAAGCGAATTGAAAGGAAAATTGTGAGAAAAAAATGATGAGAGAGGTGTGGGGAATCAATTTTTGTAATCAATTGGAGTAGAAAACGCATGGGACACATATTGAAGTGGGACTGCGCTAGATTTGGTAAGCAGTGGCGGCGTGCAACATATCCGATATGAGATATAAAAAAAACCAGATAAAAAAAATAGCGAAAAAAAAGGAGCAAAAGAAACCGAATGAAAAAACGAATCGAAAAAAAAAGCAGCGAAAAAAAGAAGACAGACAAAAAAAGATAAAGATGAAATTAGAAATCAACTCAAACACACGGATGATATACCAAAATCTCGGCAAAAACATCTTCAATTTTTATAATAGTGGAGAAACGATAAATCTATATAATCATTTAGCTCTTTTACCAATATAAATACATGTGAGAGTGCAATAAAATCTTATTCTTTGGTTATCTATCTGTTTTTCTTTTCTAACGGCAACGCGTACTACTTTTAGTTAATATGTTCGCTTCGGCGTGCACCATTTTAAAATTCAAACTTCATAAATTTGACAAGCAATTAGTCTAACAATATACGTTGAGTGATACAAACACTAGTACAGAAATCCTAAATGGTGCCCGATGGAAAACCTCTTAGGTGCCGGTTTGCCCAACCAACACCCGCAAGGCGGCACTGATTAGCCAGGGTCAAAGGTGCCGATTCCATACCCGGCACCTTTGAGACGCACAGGAGAAAGAAAAAACTGGCTTGATGCATCGGCTATATTTTGATTTAGTACGGACTGTACAGTACTCTCTCCGTCAACCAAAAATAAATTAACCTCACCTCGCACTAGAATTTGATGCATCCTATTATAATAAATCTGCATATAAAATATAACAATATTTATTGTATTATGATATGTCATATATTAGTATGAGATTGATTTATTTTAGAACAGAGAGAGTATCTTAGAATAAGATGAGACATAATCTAGTACATATTTATTGTACTCACTCCATTTCATGATATAAGTCATTTGAATTTTCTCTTAGTCAAAACTTTTTTAAGTTTGATCAAATTTATAGAAAAATACACTAACATTTTCAATACAAAACAAATATATTATCAAAATATATTCAATGTTAAATTTAGTAAAACTAATTTAGTGTTATAAATATTGCTAACTTTTTCTATGAACTTGGTCAAGCCTTAAAAATCTTTGACTCAGAAAAAAAAATTTAAATAACTTATAATGTAAAACGAAGGGAGTATTATATTAGGTAGTACATCGAATATGGTCCAGATTTACTGTACCAAGAGAGAAGTAAAAGTGAGCACTCACAATTACCGCCTCTAAACTTAGGGGTTGTTTATATTGATGTTATTTCAAACCATGTCATTTTTTAAGTAAAGTTGTCATATATATGTATCAATATAGTTTCTTAGTGAAAATCATAAGAAATCTTGCCAAAACTTGACAATATTACTAAATTACCAAAATTTGGTAAAATTTATTTTGGCTACAATCTAAAGAAGCCCTTAACCACGTATCATGCATGCATTAAATTAAGGGCTATAATATTTTGTAGCTTACCCTTTTAAGCAACTACACGTGAAACTTTGACCAGTTTCTAATTCACTTTAACTTAATTTCACCACTCGTTCATTTGACGAAAAAAAAAGGTTATGCACACTACTGGAAAAAGCGTTGTTCCTGGCGGTAAAAACACATTTTCGAGGCGGCCAAACCTTCCGTATGTATCTAAAGGCTCGTAAAAATACCTAAATTTTACAGGCAGACCAAAGCACCACCTGCGAAAATGATTTTCGCAGGCAGCAAATCCAATCTTTCCAGATGCTGTAGGCGCTACAGTGCACGCCGCCGTTGTCGCTCCCTTTCCTCTAGCCAGATCTAGGAGTGGGGAGGGAGAGAGGGGGAGCCGCCGCACCACCGTCGCCCTCCTCTCCTCCAGTCAGATTTTGAGGGAGGGAGGGAGGAGAGAGTGAGGGGCGTGTGTGAGAGAGTGGAGAGGGGAAATGAGTTGTGGGGAGGGGTGGAGGAGAAGATAAGAATGACTTAGATTTTTTTTTATGCATGATTTTTGCATGCGGACCATATAACGTTCCGCATGAGAAAATCAATTTTTTTCAGCCGGCTACTTAAGAGGTCCGTCTGTGCCCTGAAAAATTGTTTTTCGTAGACGGATGATGAAAATACACTCCGGTTTACATTTTCGTAGACGGACATTTGGCTCCGAGAATCATATCCTACTAGAAAAATAAAAGGCCAACATCACTAAAAATCGTTTTTTTAAGTAGTGACACAGTGTTCGATGCATAATAAAACCGTTACAAACCTTCCTATGTAACGGGTAAAATCTTTTCTAGAGATTTAGTGCTTTTTATTAGAGCTGCGGCCTTGAACATATTGAACTTAAAACAGAATATAAATATGATTAATATGAATGCTTCTAGGTCGTTTTCATTTCTTGAGCTTACCAACCTCCCATTCCTTATTTTCCACACACATACTTTCCAGACTGGTAAATGAATGTTTTGTGAATTTTTTTGAAAAAAATGCTTTTAAAAATCATATTAATATTTTTTAATACTTAATTAATTGTGTGTTAATTATCGTTCCATTTTTCATGTACGAGGAATAATTAGTTTCGAATCCACACCAAAGAACACATATATATATATATCCTTGCAAAAATACGCTGACAGTTGACATATTTCAAAAGGATGTCCCAGAATGTTGTAATTTAACTATTACACGATATTTTCTTCTTTCTTTTGTTGCAAAATACGTACACAATCATTTTCTGTCGAACACTCGCGTTATTTCTCTTCTTCTCTGACAAAGTAGTTTAGCCCAGCTGGGCATGTCGATCAACACGTTAGGCCCGGGTTTTATTTTCGCTAAAAACTAGTAACATTATAGTCCTATTAATTTCTTGACATGATCCAATATGTTTTTTTTGCCTAATTAACAGAGAAGGCTTCCAGAGTGTTAAGTCATCCAGTTGGAGTACTCCGTACTTTGTCCAAAATATTGAACGGAAAACAGATAATCTGTGCACACAATATTCTAAAATTGGAGGTAAAATTCCATGGAGGAAACATCAGGCACCGACACTAACCTATCAGAGAATGTAGTAGAAACGATCGACAGATATAGATGGCCAAGAGGCCCGAGGCCCGATGGCCCGGCACACAGCACGGCGTTTTGGTCCGGCCCAAGCACGGCACGGCCCGTCAGGGGTCAGGCCCGTGCCGGCCTGGCTCAACCACTGGGCCGTGCCTGGGCCTCTCCACCGGTACGTTGGGCTGGCCCGGCACGGCACGATGGGCCGCAGGCTAGGCCCGACACATAAACAATAGGGAGTAAAAATAGACATATTATATGCCATGGTCGAAAGAATAGGGACGTAAAATAGACTTATTTTAGCTATATATATATATGTCAACCCAAAGAGGAGGGACAGAATATAGACTTATCTTCACTATATATATGCCACAGCCCAAAGAAGAGGGACGAAAAATAGACTTATTTTCGCTATATATATGCCACAGCCCAAAGAGGAGAGATGAAAAATAGACTTATATAAAAAAAGGCACGATGGGCCACCCGCGCCTTCGGGCCGGCCCGGCACGGCCCGACGGCTGGTGGTCGTTCCTGGGCGGGAGGCGCAGCCCATGGGCCGGCACGGCCCGGCACGAAGTGCCGATCGGGCCGTGCCGGCCCGATGGCTGGTGGGCCGTGCCTGGGCCAGGCCGTGCCGGGCGGGCCATCTATATCGACAGACAACTCCTGGAAGCAGCCAAATCTGGTGATTCCACAACGTTGAAGGAGGACATGGCTGCCCGTGAAGCAGACGTGCTGCTTCGAACAACTAAGAACGGGAGCAACTGCCTTCACATAGCCTGTATCCACGGTCACCTGAAATTCTGCAAGGACGCCCTCGAGATCAACCAGTCGTCTCTCCTCGCCGCCGTCAACTCATACGGGGAGACGCCACTACTCGCCGCCGTGACAAGCGGACATACTGCATTGGCTTCAGAACTACTCAGATGTTGCAGTGAATCTGGCTTGGGCGACGTGATTCTGAAGCAAGATGGCAGTGGATGTAATGCGCTGCACCATGCTATTCGGTGCGGCCACAAGGACCTTGCACTGGAGCTAATAGCTAAAGAGCCGGCGCTGTCGCGAGCCGTGAACAAGGACAACGAGTCACCCATGTTCATTGCGATGATGAGAGATTTTGCTGACATTTTCGAGAAGTTGTTGGCTATCCCAGACTCCTCTGATGTAGGATGCAAAGGTTTCAACGCTCTACATGCTGCCGTGAGAAGTGGAAATGCAGGTGAGATTTTGTAGGTCGAGGTATTTCTCGTTGTTAATTTCTTTTTTTTTAGAATTACACAGTACAACACAGACACTCTGTAATTGTAACAACCATATTGTTTCCTTGGACATACTTAGGATTGCAAGTGGGATGGGTTGTGGGCCGTCCCGCCCCGCCCCACACCAGCCGCAAACTGCATGTGCGGGCAAACGGCAGCCCGCCCCGCATGGCTTGGCGGGATTGCTCAGCCCAACGGGCACCGCTGGACAGCCCACAATGTGCACATCTCTGTTTAATTAGGTTCATCGATCACACAAGCACATAACTACTCCATATCCCAAATTTAGCACATGAAAACTGTATTATTTTCATGTGAAAGTATTCTTTTTCAATGACATAACAAGTATAGTACTGAATAAGAACACCATTCTTTTCCTTCAACATCATGACTAAAGTTAGAGTGATGATGATGCATTTTCTCTTCATGATAAACCAACTGTCCCAATTGACAAAGTGACAAACAACTGCTTCCAACTCTATGAGCTCTTCCGGTCTTTTTCTATATTACCTTCAACACATTAAATTTAATAAAGTTAGAGTGGAGAAACTACTAATCGAAAATTAGAAATGAATTCATCAACCGACTGATCACAACGTTATTCCATATTGTAGAATGGAGTAAATATGTACTAAGTTTCATCAATTAAGAATGCATCCAAAATATGAATTAAAGGACATAATTGACAATAACAAGCAGTTATTCGAGGATAGTGAGATATATAACCTGCTGCTGGTTGTTGTGCTGGTACTACATGTTACTAGAGGTGTATAGGCATTTTCACCTGTATAGGAAGAAACAATGGAGTTAATAAAAAAGAGTACATGCTGGACTGTTAGATGTTAATAAAAAAGAAACAATGATGTTAGTGGTGTAGTATACAACTATACAAAAATATAGAATAGCCAAGTTAATTCAAACGAATCTCAATTTAAATACCTGAATGTTGCACATTTTGGTCATCACTCTCAGCAAGATCACGTGCAAAGAAATCACCCAAACCTTCTGCCCTCATCCAATCTTGAAGGCAAATCAATGCCTCTACAGTACTGCTCGAAAGTCTACTTCTATAGTCACTAATGATCCTTTCTCTAGTTGAAAATGCTGCCTCTGATGCCACTGATGTTGCTGGAATAGCCAAAACATCACGTGCCATTCGTGAAATCACAGGGTACTTTGTTTTGTTACCATCCACCAGTTCAAGATATCAAAATCATGCCCATCTTGGAAATCACCTTCCTGAGGCATATCAGCAAGATATCGACTAAGCTCACTCTTTACTTTGCTCCTGCTTTTGTCATGTAGAAACTGTCTCCAATCAGTGAATTGATTACTTGCATCAACATTCTGCTCAACACTTGTTTCGGGCTGAGAATTGATGTTGTTTGAGCCCCCATACTTGGCAGAATATTCATCAAACAATTTCTGCATATTACTCTTGATTTCCTTAAGGTAAGGAGTTGCAGCAGCTCCAAATGCAGACTTCAAACGAAACTCAATGAATTTGTACTTATACCTTGGATCAAAAATAACCGGGAAACATATTTGCAAGTATTGAGCGTCCCAGTACTTCTTAAATTTTTCTTTCATTTCCTTGACAATAGATGCAATGGTACATCTTCATTTGTAGCCTCCTTGTCCAAAACCATCTTTATCTTCCAAAGTTCATGAAAATAGCATGTTGAAGTTGGGTAAAACGTACCAGATACTGCAACAGTAGCTTTATATTACTACTACATGTAACTGTACTTTATATACTATAGAACAAGAAAAAAAAATCTGAAGCTAATAATTAAGAAATTAGTCTGAAGGAAACTTCTCTGAATGAGCACCTATCAATCTTGTTATGTCAAACCAGTGGTAGCTAATCATGCACCACATTAATTAGATAAAAAAAAGATGCAATAGATCATTTGCAGACGCTGATGTCCAGTATAACAATGGCTAGATCACCAATCACACTCAAAGTTTAACATATACAAAAACAAATAGAGTGAGTGAGACAACCTGCTACTATTCTTGGAGAAGCAATTCGTTGATTCACATAAATACACAAGAAACACATGAAAGGTTAGTTTAATCTTGTACCTTAATTAGTGTGTAGAGATCTGGAGGCGGCAGTGCAGCATCGCAAGCTGCAGGATTTGGATTGGATGGATCTATCAAGAACTATCAAGAACTGAAGTATGAAATGCACTGGATTCACTATTTCGCTGGATCAGGAGACTGGAGGGCGTCGGCTGCTGGATTTGGATGGATGGGCGACGAGGAAGACGAGAGTAGCAGCCGCTGTGGCGCCGTCTCGCCGCCGCCATCTCCCGTCTCCCGTCTCGGCTGCGCCGCTGCGGCTGCGTCTCGCGTCTCCCAGTCTGTGCCCTAATGCCGTGGCGCCCAACGGGCTGTGCGGGATGGGCCAAACAATTTTGCAAGGTCCACGTGGGATGGCCAGCCCGCAAATTTGCGGGCTTTTTTGTGGGGCGGGACTGCGGGCCGAAAAAAAAGCCCGCCCCACTTGCATCCCTAGACATACTTTCAGACGCTGCTAAAAAGGTTATGGAGAACCGCCCTTGGCTGGCCAAACAACAAAACGAATATATGCGTGCTCCTATTCACTATGCCGCCCTCTGGGGCATGGTCCGTGTTACGAGTATTGCTGGAACATGATTCTTCTCTAGGGTACATCGTATCAGACAATAACACCGCCACTAGATCCTCTTCTTGTTTCTGCCGGAATTCGAGGGCATATTGGCATTGCTCAAGAGATTCTTATCCATTGTCCAGATGCTCCCTATTGCACAAAGACTGGTTGGACATGTCTTCATGGAGCTGTATCCGCAGACCAAGTAGAGTATGTTAAGTTTATCCTGAGCACACCACAACTACGGAAACTCACTGGCATGCGAGATAGCCATGGGAAAACTGCTCTACGTGTTGCTGTCCATAAGGGTAACCCAAAAATGGTGGCTGCTTTGTTGTCTCATAGAGGCACTGATGTCACAATGCTTGACAACCATGGTAATTGTAACGCCCCAATTTTCGTTCGGGATTAAAAATCATTTAATAATACATTTTCTAGAAATTAAATAAAAGTTAAATCAATTTAATCAAGTGAATTATTGAGGGAATTAAAAATTTCCTTTGAAAATTATGGCCGAGAATATTTTATAATATTCTTTGCGCCCCTAATGTACTCTCTGAAATTTCCCACGAATTTTCAGAGCTCAAGAAGTAATTTTAAAGTCACAAAGTTCATTAAACTCATTTAAATAAAAAGAAAACAAATTTAATTCTCCTTCTTTCCCCTTCCTCCCTTTCGGGCTCGGCCCAAATTCCTCCCCCTCCTCCTTCACAGGCCGGCCTCCCTTCCCTCGGCCCGCTCGGCTCTCTCTCCCGAAGTCTACTTTGCCTCCCCCAACTGTCTCGTCCTCCCTCCTCCCCCCGACCCGCCGACAGGTGGGTCCCACCTGTCGGGGTCATCTCCCACCTCCAGCCAACCGCCGCCCACTCCACCGCCAAATCCGGCGCCCTCCCATTCCCGAGCTCGCATCTAACCGTGTGGACCGGTTCCTCTCCACCTCCTCAACCGAAACCCCCACTCGCCCCTCGAAGATCGGTGCCGAACCGCCGCCACGAGCCCACGTCGGCGTCCCACGACACCGGCCGATTCCGCCTCTCCCGGGCTCGATCCCGCCATTCCAAGGCTATAAAAAGCATCCCCGGGGCTCCCTCTCCCATTTTCCCTCCACCCCGAGCTCGCCACACCCCCTAATCACCTCCCCACCGTGCTCCCTCTCTCCGCCGCTCGCCGGCGACACTCCAGCCGGCCGCCACAGCCGCTCCCGCCGCCGCCGCTCCACGCAACTGCCACTGGCGGCTTCGCAGCGTCGTACCGTACCCCGGCATCCCCTCCGCTCCTCCATTTCGCCGCTAGAACCGCCACCCCACCGTGCACCCGAGCCACCACCACCATTGCCGCCGTTCCCGGCCACCTCACACCACACCGCCGCAGCTGTTAGCTCCACCACCGTGAGGGCAAGCCCAACCGCGGCTCCATTTCCCCAACCCCTCACCGAAACTCCACCTTCACTGTCAACTCAAGCCGCCGCCACCTCTATCACCATCGGCTGCCATTGGGCGCCATTCCGGACCACCTGGTGTCGCTCTGTCGCCTCCTTCGGCCTCGCGGGAGGACTGCCTCGGCCGCTTCTCCGCCTTCGCTGGTCGTCGCCGGAGCGCCGTCCGCGTCGCCTCCCCGAGGAACGCCGCCGCCTCCCATCCATCCCGCGCTCCGCCGGCCGCCTCCCTCCGTCGCCGTGCCCAACGGTGAGAACTGCCTCCCTCCCCTCTCTTTTTCCCTCCTTCGCCGGCCGCCGCGTTGCGCTGCCGCCACCGGTGGCCGTCCGGCTGGGTCGCCGCCGCCACGCGCCGTGCCGCGCCACCGCCGGCTGGCCGCCTCCCCTTGATCCTAGCCACGGTCGGTCTGGGCCGTCGGATCGGCTGGGCCTCCATCTGGGCCGTCCATGTGGTGGACGTGCGCCCGAGGCCGCGGTGGACCGTGTCCACCGTGCGCCCCTACCCTTGTGCCGCTGACGCGTAGGGCCCACGTGTTAGCACCGGCCGCCCCCTGCTGACGTCAGCGATGTCCCATTTCCTTTGTAAAAACAAATATTAATTGCGCAATAAATCATTAATAATTCTAGAAATCCGTTTAAATGGCTCAAAACTTCTAAAATTCATATCTAATTCATACGAACTCCGAATTGGGCCATTCAAGTTGTAAGATTCATCTAAAGTTGAGATCCACATGTTTGTTTACTTTTTATGTACTTTTTTCTTGGTGTTTATTAGAGTTTTTCGTCGTTTTGCGTGCTAGCGTGTAGAATCCATTGTTTCGGATGTTCGCGGTCGCAAGGATAAGAGTTCAGTTCAGAAGATTGTTTGAAGAAGCAATGCAAGTCACACATTCCCCTTGAGCATGTTGATCCCAATTTACATATGTTTTACCGTTTGCAAATAAATATGTATGTTTTGCTAATTACATGGGATCAGGGTTTTTCTTTCTTTTCGCTTCTGCCATGTTTACTTGATATCTGTTCTTTGTCAACCTTGGGTCATAAATCGACTAGCTTGTGTTACTTATGTTAACCTAGCTAGAACTATATGCTTAGCCATGCTTAATTACTACTAGCTCAGTCGATGATTGCAGTATTAGACATTCTAGTATATTGATGAGCTGCGTGCTCGAGACATCTAGCAATGTTTCATGATCGTAATTATCCAACTAAAACGCGACTCAATGATGGGCTGTGGGTGCATGGTTTTGCGAGTCGCATCCATGGCAATTAAGGACCGGTTCATAGGAAACCCTGGAAGACTTACAGCGCTTGCCACAAGCGGGAGTGGGTAACTGCTTGATCTGAAGTATAGCTCGACCCTTTCCTAGACACCGGTGGCGAGGGTGGGCGTGATGGAGTTGGGTCAGCTGGGGTGTCCGGTTGTCCAGCTGCCGGATTCACCGCGGCGCACGAGGGGACTGCCCACCTCTGGGGTAGGGGTGGGGGTGAAACCTTACCGTTGTGTGGATGGTTATGGGAGGGTTATGCGGAGGGTCTTGTCACAATCACTCGACATGGTGACGTGTCTACGCAGGCAAGGTGACATGCCGGTGGATTGTATCTTGTGGGTACAGTTGTTCACCTCTGGCCAGAGTAAAACTATTCGAATAGCCGTACCCGCGGTTATGGGCGATCAACCAGATTCACCGTGATTAGTCTGACCCTTAATAAATCGACTCAATGCACTAGTTGGTTCAAGTGGGATGGTTGGGCCTGTTCAACGTGGTGTAGCGTTGATCAGTGGAGATTTAATATTACCTTAATTACTCAACCGTTTTACTATTTTGCTTAATAAAATGCTTTACAACCACCTTTATGCAAATAGCCACAAACCATCATTGTCTCCCCTTGCACGTCTGCATCATTGGTGTGGCATGCTGAGTATGGTGGTTGTACTCAGCCTTGCTATTGTTCCCCTTTTTCAAAAGTGTAGTGCTTCTGAGCTGAAGACGAAGTTAAAAGACCAAGGCTCAGACCCCAGTTGAGTTTTGCCTGTGGAGTGGAGCTGAAGCCCCGCTGGGATCGCCTTTTCCGCTGCTGCTGCTTTTGTTTCGGTGTGAGGACTAAGTGCCTCTTCTGTAAGTATTTTACGCTTTATTTACGTTTGTAACTGTTTATTACTTGTCGTTTTGTGTACCCTGGCTGGTCCTGGATAGGGATTTAATACACAAAATAGTCTGGAAATTTGGGCTAAATTTCGGCGTGACAGTAATCCACCAAGTTGGCAATCATGGAAAGTCACGGGTCGCGCTAAGACGTTAAACTGGGTATGTATGCTTGTTTCATTCCCCTCTGATCTCACAAGTACATCTTCTTGAATACGTGCAAGTGCAATTCAACTTTAAAAACTTCGTCGATGACGGCATCAACTAAATTACTTGGTTTAGACTTAGGAAAGCCAGCTTATACTAGTAGATCATGAACAAAATTCCCATGTCATCATATTGTTAGTATTCTATATCGAGCTACTCCTAGCTATATCGAGTTCGTCCACAGGGAAGAGAGAGAAATTGCGAGGATGAGAATGAGAAGGCACAGGAATAGAAGAACAGCATTTGAGTCATTTTACACACCCTCAGACAGACTTCCCAACAAAATACAAAATAGCGAACAGTAGTGCACTTTTTATGACAATTTTGACAATTGGGGTTTAGATGATGGGAGATACAAAATTGTTTCTTTGAGGGGCTAATCTGATATTAATTTAGTTGTGTATTTGTGACCATTGTTTATTATTTTTCCTGTTTGTCAATTCAGGGCCCGTTAGGAAAAAAATATAAATATGAACACCTCATCTATGTCGCGCGGGGGGGGGGGGGGGGGGCTTATCTGTATCGGCGAGAGGCTCCGTCACAAACTAATGGTCTGTGATGTGAAAAGTCATCTTTATCAGCTGGTCGCCGTCACCGATAACTATTATGTTTGTCGAGCCAATATTAAACCTCATAATCGATAGTTTTGACCCAGTAGAGGAGTTAACTAGAACCTGTCACTTATGAGTCATCTTCGATGGGCCTCTACTATAAACCGACAAAGATGAAATAGGGTTGAGTACGTAAAGTGGAAAATAATGAATTCAAAACACACGAACAGTGAAACATAAGGGATTCCGATAACAGGAAAACACACGGCAAATAGATATAGAGAGTGAGGAAGAATGAGTGAAGGAATTGTTCTTTTAGCTTTGGTTGGATGTTTTATTTCCTATGAAACTGGAGGAATGCATGGGAACCATTCTAAAAGAATCTTGTACAGTTCATTTGAAAATCCCATGATCCAAACAGGGCCTTACTGCCTTAGGGTTTATAAGTAATGACAACCAGAACATCTAACATGCATGATGCAAAAGTTTTAAGAAGTTCAAAATCTTATTGGTTTTTATCATTAGACATTTTCATGTTATTACATTGGCACTATCCCATGACCGTGCAAAAGATTTTTTGGACCTTTGAATTGTTTCCCTATACAATTATTATTCAACACTAGCATGCATCCTTAATATCATAGAATTGGTTTTGTTTTCAAATTTTATAATTTATTGCTGACAACTATAATTAATGTAACAATACTATATTCATATTATTTTGGGGATTTTATTATTTTAATTGTTGCTACTGTTGTTGCTGCCGCTGCTACTATATTGATCCTAGTTCCATTATTTATGACTTTATTTGGATTTCCATGCAGAATGAAGTGTCCTTGCTTATGTTGGAAGCTGATCCCCAAGATGCATCCTTTATGCATAATGTTCATATGGAAGCGAAGGAAAAAGTAACTAATAAATCAAGGAAGGATGTCAAGGCACTAACTGAGAGATACACAAGCAACACTTCATTAGTAGCGATCCTTATAGCAACAATTACATTTGCAGCAGCTTTCACCTTGCCTGGAGGATATAGTGCTGTGGAGATTATGGTTACCCCATATCTACATGGCGGTTATATTCCAGCTGGATATACGGTACCAAATATAGATAGAATATCTCTATGAGGACTCGGGTTAGATTCTAAACTTGTATGTTAAGAAAATACCTGGGATCCTAGTCGGTTACGATTGTATTTTATCTGTAATCCCATATCCCGTTAGGATATGGACTGTACTTTATATTACAGATCCCTTCCCCAATATAAGGAGGGGTCCGGGTTCCTCTCGGGACGATTCTTTTTTCTCCCAATCATACAATCAATAACACACTCGGCGGAATCATCTCCGGACAGGAGTAGGGTATTACTTCTTGAATAAGAAGGCCTGAACCTGTATAAAAATTTCTTGTCTCCAAACCCATCCACTTTCCTAGCTTGATAGCCACTCCCTTTTATTATTGCCGAAATCTTGTTTCGACAGTTGGCGCGCTAGGTAGGGGTAGCGTCAAGTTCTCGCCGACTAAGTGCGATGGGTTTCGTTTCTGGCATCGACGACTTCGCCTTCCCTCCCGGGCAAGCGTTTCGGTTCGGCAGCCTCAACTTCATCACCAACGACTTCAGCAAGATCTCTCTCCTTGACTCGGATTCAAACCAGTCGGGGAGAGACCAGGTCCCCATGCCCTTCGGTATTCCGAACTCGGCCGAGGCCTACTCCAAGATCATCTCTCCCGAGTCGGCTTCAAACCACTCGGGCGAGATCCAATCTACTCTTCCGCGACCAGATCAAGACGACGGGTCCTATCCCTCAATCCTAATGAAACTTCCTGATAATTTGGCCGCTGTCTTCACTGCCAAGACATCTCCCACTCGAAGATCTAGGCGAGCTCCGGCTTCGGCCCCGATCCAATCTAGATCCAGAGAGGTTGGCGTTATACTCCAACCTCTTGGGACAGTCTCGACGGAAGAGTTGGATGGTTACCTTAGCTCCCCCGGCGTCAGTTCTCGACCAACCGAGATCCTCGACTACGACGATTTCGGCTACCACTACGACCACGGTGACCTCGACAACTTCGACGACAGCTATGAGGATAACTACACGCCCCTCTTCTTCGGCGTATTCATGGCTGACAACGAAATGGAGGAACAGCGCCAAGCCCGAGAAGCAGACCAAGATCGCGCACGGCAAGAAGCTGAACGTCGCCGACTGGAGGAAGAGCGACAGCGACAGGAGCGAGAACGACTACAGCGTGAGCAGCAAGATCGCGAACGGATTGCAAAGGAGGCTGAAGATCGACGGCAACGCGCCTTGGAATCTGGGCGCCGAGCGAGAGAACTCATTGGGCAACAAGACGTCGATGGAACAGCGGTCTTTCGCACCCCCCAGCAGAACGCGGTTGCAGCAATCACTCTCCTCAACACCCTCCTCAAGGAAGACGCACTCAACCAAGCTGATCATGTTGTCAACATCTTGAACCAAACGAAGACCATGATCGCTGTCTCGGTTCCAGCCAACTCCGCAAGCACCCGCACCCCGACTGGTAGCCGAGTCCCTCACTTCCGATCTCATGATTATCATCAGCCAAGCCTCAGCATCACCGGCACAGGATCTAGTCGCAGGAGCAGGGGTCACGACGAACGATCTGTTCACTCGCCTCCCGAACGTCACAGGGAGCGCCGAGTTGAACGGCCTCGCTCTCCACCTCACCAGTGTCCCGTCGACCTTCGCGACACAGTCAACCAGCGCCGTGCAACACGAGGTCACCGCCATTCACCAAATCGCTACGACGACGACGTGGATGGAGTAGCTGCCTTCATTAATGACCTGCGTCGAGTGCTGATGCTGGAAGTGAGGGACTTCCTGTTATGGCAAAAAAAGGTTGCATTTCAGGCCTTCTTGATCTCAGACACCTTAGCAATATGTTCCTCATTTGCTGTTGCATTCATATGCATCATAGCCAAGTGGGAGGATCTCCAGTTTTTGCTTCATTACAGGTTTATTACTAAGAAGCTCATGTGGTTTTCATACATGGCAACTATCAGAACATTTGCAACTAGTTTGTGTCAGGGTTACGGGTAAGGTATACCCTCTACCCTCAGATATACGTCGTGTATAGATATGGTATATCTGCGCGTATACGGACGTTTTCTGTATACGTTAAGGAAATTCATCACGGAGTCCACAGATGGAAGGAGTCCTACTCGTACAGAACTGGGTCGTCACTGTATCGTGTAGGGTCCGATATCTCCGAGTCCTACTTGGAGACCAACTGACCAGCGTATAAAAGGGACCCCCGAGAGGACCTAAGCATCGAATCTCACCGCCAACACATCCACCACAGCTTACGAAGTCGGAGCCTATAGGAGCCAAGTCGCCGAGTGATCCAGTTGAACCAATTCGACTACGATCTCGTCGGTATCATCGAGTTCCACTATTCCCTTTGTAATCTGGGATTTCCGTCATATAATCCCATATCAACTGGATTAGGGCTATTACCTATCAAGGGGCCTGAACCAGTATAATCTCTGTTTTCCGTTTGCTTGATATCGTATTACGTAGATCCTCGTACCAGCGTACCCCAATACCCTCTATATCCGGTCTACGGGTATCCCCCGTCGACAGTGGCGCGCCAGGTAGGGGCTCTTGGTGCTCAAGGTTCTACTACTATATCATCAGGCTTCGTCGACAACAGCGTCAACACCGGCCTCAACCAAGGAGTTCCTGCTTCAACAATGCTGGTGTGGACTCAAGTCGGCGAACTTGTCTTCCCGTTTACACCACGGTGTCGATCTCGACTGGTCCATGAATGACCAGAAGCGAGAACGCCGTGGCTACAACCCTGGACGACTCCATGTCGAAGAATCCACCCGTCGAAGCGGAGAACGGAACGTCGATGACATCCGAGCCCGAGAAGGATCTTAGTGCGGCCAAACCTTGTCCTTCCGACAAGAATCACGAGCAGACAAGGACAACTTCCGAGATGACAAGGTCCTGGTGTCCTATCCACAAAACCAGGAAACATACCTTGCAAGCCTGCTGGGTTTTTCTCAACGTGCAAGCTGAAATTCGTGCCTGCAAGGAGCGTGGAATTCAGCGTACTTCTCCAACTCATGAGGTCTATTGTCCTATTCACAAGACAAAGAATCACGACCTCTCAAGCTGCAAGGTCTTTCTCAGCGCCATGAAGACACCGCCTCCTAAGGTCCAGCAGTCGCGAATCTCTCTTAGGGATACAGACAAGGAACAAGGAGCGACGCTGATCTCGGATCGATTCGTTGGGGTAATCGACATCGATCCCCACGAGCCATCAGTCCTACACTTTCTCAAAGACTATGGCTCATCATCAACGAGTACACCGCGCGATGTATTTGCTATCGATGGGACCAGCACGTCAGCACGCGCTAATGTGAAAGCGGAAAATCAAGTGGTTACACCAGCCCAGCACATCGGGGTTATCAACGCAATACTGAGGGAAACCCCTTACGATCCCGTTCTGAATGATGATCTCGCACAGTGGACAGAACGGCTACGGGAATCAGTGACCAACCTCAGCAATACGTTCGAGGAGGCCGCTGCTGCAGCGCACCCGGAACAGCCGCCAGCTGGCGGTGCTAATGGCGAACTCCCTGAGCAGCGGGGGTCGCCTCGTCAAGCCACCCCTCCACCTCACGGACCGACGATCTCCGTGATCATCTGAATGGCCGCCAAGAAGCACGACGCACACGAGACAACGGGAACCGTTCCCGACATCGCGTCTCTTCACGACATCGCGAAAACAAAGAACGAGGAGGCCGCTCGAGCGAAGACCGAGACCGTGATAACCGCCACACGCCGTGATCACGATGATCGCGAACGGCGGATGCCAGGCGATACTGGTCGAGGACGCCGCCAAAACGATGAAGACGATGGAGATCGGCGCCGAGACAACAACGGGGGGCGACGACAGGATCCTCGAGAACCTGGACGGCGTCCTCGTAATCGTACACCGGAACCAAGTGACCCGTCGTCATCGTCATCATCCTCTTCATCCTCATCGTCAGATAGACATCCACGAAGGACGTACGATCGCCGAAAACCCACCGCCCCCATCGCCGGGTGTAGAGCTTTCAATCGTTCGTTGCCCGATGTCCGATGGCCTGAGAGATTCCGACCAGGAGCGATAGAGAAGTACGATGGGAGTACCGACCCAGAAGAATTCCTTCAGGTCTACTCCACGGTACTCTACGCTGCCGGAGCAGATGACAACGCGTTGGCGAATTATTTGCCAACTACATTGAAAGGCTCTGTGCGTTCTTGGCTGATGCATCTCCCGCCCTACTCGATTTCTTCGTGGGCAAATCTGTGGCAGCAGTTCGTCGCTAACTTCCAAGGAACTTACAAGTGCCACGCGATCGAAGACGACCTACACGCATTGACACAGACCCCGGGTAAATCCTTGAGGGACTATGTTCGGCGCTTTAATGAGTGCAGAAACACAATCCCCCAAATCACCGATGCTTCTGTAATCCGCGCTTTCAAGTCCGGTGTCAGAGATCGCTATACTACCTAGGAGTTGGCAACGAGGCGCATCACGACTACTCGAAGACTATTCAAGATTTTCGATCGATGCGCTCACGCGGATGACGCACTGAGACGCAAGAAAGACAAGCCGAAGACCGGGGGAGAGAAGGAACCAGCCAAGGACGCACCTGAATCAAGCAAGAAGAAAAATTGCAAGAGTGGGAAAAGGAAAGCTCAAGCGGAAGTTCTCGCGACAAAATACGCGGACCCTCCCAAGCGCCCAGTCCCACAAAGCAGCGACATGAAGAAAATATGGTGCCCTATACACAAGTCGAACAGACACACTCTGGAGGATTGCCTCGTCTTCAAAAAGTCGCTCGCAAAGCACATGGCATTGGAAAAAGGCAAGCAAGTACATGTAGTCGAGAAGGACGCTGAGGTAGCTACTCAGGAATCGGACTCAGCATACCTAGACTCTGATCTCCATGTCTCGCACATCTTCGGAGGTTCCACGGCATACTCCTCAAAGCGAGAGTACAAGAAAGTGGAACGTGAAGTCTGTTCGACGTGGCAGGGGGCCGCGCCCAAAATGAAGTGGTCCGAACAGAAGATCAAATTCTCAGAAGAAGACCACCCCAAGACTGCTGTCATCCCAGGACGATATCCGATCGTGGTCGAACCCACTATTCGAAATATCAAGGTCGCGCGAGTTCTCATCAACGGCGGCAGCTCAATCAACCTTCTCTTCGCCAGCACCTTGGACGCGATGGGGATCCCACGAAGCGAGTTG